TTGTTGATTACTCGTTAGACACAGAACATTAAATTGTCAGATAGGATGGTCTGATGACGACAATAAACTTCTTAAGTGGTCTTCAACTTGGCCAAAGACACCTTTGTAACATGAGCCAATTGATACCATTGTCAGATAAATTGATTCTGTTTAAATGATTGCTCCTTCATTCTTGAGAAGAATCTCCTGGAATGTGTAAGCTTACACGAGCGTCTGCAAAATATTTGATGAAAAGATTATGCCCCTGTGGATAAAGGAATTCGGAAACCAGCTGAAGAATTTAAATATAATGATTAGTTATATGTAGAAGTGACGAAAAAGATGAAGCAGGTTAAGGGAGCTATATGAATTTAAGATCTTGTTCATTTTCAGTTACTGTTAAAGAATGCTATTATGATTCCAGAGTATAGAAAAACCAAATATTATCTATGTCTTTAACTCTTAATTTCTTACATAATACTCTCTGCATGTTCAAAGCAGTGTTTGCACAGTTACTGGTGAATCCTCAAAGGAAAATATCAGTGAGGGAATTATTGTATCAACATGATTGTAACATGTTGTTGTGCATCTTTAGATCATTAGTAACTTTTTATTGACGTTTGGTTTCCACCTATACAAACAGGCAGGCTGTCAGACGCGCCTTGTCCCCATTTTTGCTGTCTGGGATTTGGTGGCCAGGTCTCTCTGCAAACTGGAACTGTTTTAGGAAATGAAGTTTTCTTACTAACATATTCTACCAACATTTGTCTTTCATTTTTAACTTCTAATTTTTTTCATGTAAGAAATTGATACATTATGTAATGATTACTAACACCTTTTTGTTGGCATGGAGGTGTTTGGCTGGCATTATGGTACTGAACAACTTACTTTAGTCCTTTACCAATGTCTGAGACACTGCTGTAGGTACCAATTGAAATGGTTAACTCCTAAAGACATACATTCCTACCTTGATGATATTCATGTAATCTTGTTTTACTACATTTTGATTTCATTGTTTTATCATTTAAAGTATTTTTGCTCTCTGAGAAATTTATTGTTTTAGATGTCAATACCAAATGTTCACAAGATGTTGATAAAATTACATTTCTATTGTACTTATGTCGTGATAAAAGTTTTTGAAATCAAAGAGTTTACATTTGTTTCCAGTGTCTGTATTGGTAGAAAAAATTGCAATGTATTAAAAGAGAAGCACATTGGAACATTGAATAATTAAATAATGTCTTGATATAGCTTAGACAGTTACAGTTCACTAACTTGTTCCATTAGAAAATATGCATGTATGTGCTGTGGGAATTGCAATGAAATTTGCAGACATATATATACAAGAAAATGGTACCCCTCAAAATGTTTTACTACACTTACACTAACATTGTAGGCTTTATGCTATTTTAAATTTCTGTCACAATAGCACACTGGGGCCAGTTTCAGTCCCGTCTGAAAGTTAAACTTATAACTGAAATGAGGAAGCGCTGCTGGATCTGCTTACACCTGACAATCTTTGGATGCAGAGTTTGGTCAGTTAGGGGAGGTTGTCTTTTTTCTTTGTTAATTTCATTTTGGTAAAAGCTTTGGGTTCTGTTTCACCTTGAATTGAACGCTCTGTTATGGTTTTTTTTAAAATTTGTATTGTTTGTTCTCTGTTTTGATGTAACGTTTTCCAGCATTGTCTATTAACACCAAATGGCATGACTAAAGTTAATGAACTATATGGTCTTCAATCTTCATTCAATGTCTTTGCATTTTACTTCTGGCCATTGACTAATGTTAAATGTTAATGATTTGTTTTTGTTGTGATAGACTAACTCCAATTCAAAACAAAACTTAATTATAACAGCTTACTATTTGGGGCCCTGCTTTTAATGTCCAACATTTATATAGAAGGTAATCAAATCAATTGTGACAATAAAAAATAGCTGCAGGTTTTGATGAACTCCAAGATGAACTTTATAATTTCTATCAGTTCCTTGAACTTCATTTACAGAAGTGGAACCTAACCTTTTGCTTGCAAATAACTACAAAAACAGCACAAGCCAGTTTTCAAAACAAAAGGTTCTATGAACAGAATCAAGGAACAGCAGCAAGTATGAAAGGTCAAGCATACCCTGCCTAAACAATTTCTTTAGCATTCATTTGATATTTTCCATGAAGAGAAAATCTGAAATTGGATACATTGGAGCAAATTCACACTCTGTCTCTCTTTACCAAGCTGTCATTGGAATAATTTATTAATTGCATTTTGCTAATTTTATCTTGTACACTGCAGCACATATCCATATATTAACTTTATCTAAATATTTATTTGCTTGTAAGCTTAAGAAAGTAGTGCCATCTTGATTTCAGATCATGGAAATATGAATAATAAACATGGGCAATAAACTGTGAAGTGATCTTATTAAAATAGAAACATTGTTATTTATATAGGAGCGATATATGGAAACATTCAGGTGTTGTTGGGTGGCTGTCGTAATTGCTTACATATTCCCAGCTTTGTTGTCCTATTAAGCGATACTCAAACACAGTAACAGTCTGCTTAACACCATAGCCAGATTGAAACAAGTTGACAAGTTGAAACAATATGGGAGAAATAACGGCAGCCTTACCCATTGTATAAGCAATAGAGAAAGGGAGGGGTGCAGGACTTGTGACAGTTGCCTATTATTCTTACGCTGTTAAGAGCAATTATCGACCAGTCTATAGCAACAAGTCGCATAATGATGTTTATAGGAAAGAAACATTAAACAACTAATCATACTTTTTCTCTGCATTTGATACCAATCATGTGATTAAATTTAATACACAGGTTTCGCCCATTTTCTTTATATTTGACAAAGAAAACAATATATTTTCCTTACAGTCGTTTTCATTTTTTCCCAAAAGAAAAATACATGACTGGAAAGGTGTAGCACTTCAGATTTTGAGTACTTTTTTGTAACTTGAGAGAAAACTGTACCCATTGGAATTGTATTTTCATGGTGATATACTTAAGAAAAAATGCACTACAACCATGTTTTACATAGTGTTTGTTACAAAACGGAATCATTCATATACCACACCTGAGGGGAATTAAGAACTTGGTACACCCAAATTATGGTACATATACTTCATTGTTGAATTTTTACATATTAAGTCATTTTGATTTATTTTTAACCACAAAATCTATTCTTTATATAATTGATCATTGCACAGGGTAGCACAACATTCAATTAAAAAATTGATATGATGATGATGTGGGAACTTGACTATCAAATATTCATGACCCTTATCATAAAAGTCCCAGTTTTATTTATTTGTCATCAGAATAATAATTGTGATTAAAATTAGTTTAGGATTTTTCAAATGGATTATGTTCAAATAAAGACATAATGATGGATATGAAAGCTGATATTGAGTATGGTATAGTTCCACTGGTTTGTAGAGAATGATAATGGTACATTATTAAATCATGACTTGGGATGAGAAAGACCAAAAGTTGTTATATGAGACTGTGAGAGGATATCTGACAGTTCCCAAATAGAAAAGGCCTGTAGATTTCCTTTGTTTTTATTCATTCTATACTTAATAAAAACATGGTAATGCTAGTGACATTCAGTTCTTTTTATGAATTGTCAGGTATCCTCTCACAGTTTCATATAACAACTTTTGGTCTTCGAAGGAAATATCAGTGAGCAGAAATTCGGCTGTGTATCTGTTATCACTCGTTACTTCATGTCAGTTATATAGAAGGATAACTCTTGTTTTTCATTATTTGGGTCACTTCCATTTCTTCAAATCTTCGTTACTCATCTATTGTTGCAATGATCTCTGCGTTAAAATTATATTTGGAACGTTTTTAACCAGTTCTATCACCGCACACTAACACTGTTTATAGAATAACAATTACTTGTTTATCAACATGCAACGTTTCTACGATGATGCTCTTGTCTTCATCAAGCAAAGATGAGAGCATCATTGTCGAAACGTTGCATGTTAATAAACCAGTTATAGTTATTCCATAAATAGTGTTAGTGTGTTACTGTTCAATACTAAGTGCCACTTAAAGACAGTTCTATCACATATAATATAAAAAAAATAGATTTTTTAGCTCTTAGGAAATATTAAATCTTTTATTTGGTGGCCTTGAAAGGATCTTTCATAGCAGTATGTAAATTAATACCCACTTTTTTATTAGATATTTATGGACAATTGAACTACAAATACATTTGTTTGATGTTATTGTCACAGTTTCTACATAAGCTATAAGTACACTTATTGATAATCACTTATTAACAATACATCTTAGCCATTAAATTTCCAAATGAAGGAATAATTGACCGGTAATGAAAAGTATATGGCATGTACACATCATCTGATAAAATATCAACAAATAAATTGTGTAGTTTTTATTTTAAAAACATTTAACCCTGCTGTATATGCACCCTTGTTTAATTAATGATTACCTATGCTTACTATTTGATCCATTCTTCAGGGGAGAAATGATATTGGGGTTATCAAATCCTATGATGATATGTAATACGTACTACAATATATTGAAAATTATAACTTAAACTACCATTATACAAAGGGTGTAGTCAATCAAGATATATAATTGTCTTTATGAACACCTTATGATTGCTATTGCACTGTTCAATACACAACTAGGGTTTCTTATGTTTGATCAATAGGCCAGAGTGACTAATAAACAGGATTAACTCAATACACAAAGCTTAATTGCACTTTACCATTACACAAGGAGCTAATATGTTTGGCACAAGGTTAAATTAAATCTCGGTTCCTTGGAGGAAACTTACACCTAATTCAATACACAAGTAGTAATCCACTACAAATGAACGATTTGCAATATTGCACATTATCAATACTATACTTTGGTATACTATTTGTACAAATCTATGGTCTATTAAGGAGCTTCTGCAGTTTACAACATACTTATAGCACCCCTAGAGAGAACGTCAGAATTATTTTACTTTATGTTACAAGTATTTTTGTTCGGTTTTTATTTTCAGGAAGAAAAAGTTACGCCAAAGATGACCTATAGAGAATTAAGATTTCGTCAGTTTGCCTCTGTTGAAAGTCACGGTTCCATTTACATGACTCCTCAAGATTTCCTAGAATCGGTTACAGAAGAAACACCAAGACGTAAGAATAAATTTTAAAAATATTTTTGTCTGATAAGAACTTTTTTCGTTATCATAAATTGATTAACCAACTAAATCAATTTGAGTTTTCTGTTTGTTAATTTAGTTTTATGAGATATTTATGATTCTGTACTCCTAATTTAATTAAAGTCCAAATTTGATACTTTTCATTTGTGATACATCAAGTAAATTCACTTTGTCATCTGTAACCATTGCTCTCATCCAGGTTTTAAACCTGCTGTAAACTTCAAAGGCATCAATTAGGAGACTCATAAAAAAAGCTACAAGGTAACAAATGGTTCTTTTCAGGCACTTGTGTTTTAGTATGGAAATTAAATTAGTGCTCATCTCAGTCAATGGGGTAGTAATGAACAATCTCTTGAAATATATTGTTAGAAATAAGAGACTGGGTTGGCAGTGTTTAATACCCAAATTCTCATAGCTACATTACATGTATATTGGTAATAGTAGATACATAGACTAGACATAATCTGCTCCACAGGTAGCATTTTTTGCTTAAAAGGAACATCATGTCTCACAAACAGTACAAACATCTCTTGATTGGAACCAGTTTTGGATCAATCATTGCCCAACTGTACTTTATTTTACAATTCAATGACTGAACTCTTGTTTAAACAAAAATACACTAGTAACAGACCCAAAAAGTTACTCACTTCCAAAATAAATTTCCATGTTAAGGGAAATTTGGATAGACTAGTAAGTAGTTTCCGCCGTTGTTTTCTTCAATATTTCTGATAATAAAGATCTAATTTCGGAGATGATGGATTATTGTCTTGTTATCTATTGATAATGATAGTGTATTTTAGAAAGTAAAATTTCTAATTTGTCAATAATTATGTTGAGAAGAAGTTTGTCTCGTCAAACTGTTCATGGAAAGCAAATTACACACACATGTTAAATCAACTTTTCCTTTTAACTTGTCTTTTGTGGACAGTTCACTGCTAAAAAGACAAGCAAACATCTTTTAAGTACATATTTGAATATTTGACTGTGGTTATGAGAAAAGAGTCGTTTTTTCCTCACAATCACAACCATTTTTTGTGTCATGTGAAAATCCAAAACTAGGGGTTTTTCCACCAATTTTTGGGTGAAAGTTGACTCAAGAACTATTTGTTACTTGTAGGACAAGGCTTGTATCTAAAATTTTAAAATTAGCATGCTTTGGCTATTTTTACTGTTATAGTCTTCATATATCGCTCTTATTTATTATATAGTCAATAAAATTGCAAACCATTAATGATTATTTTTAAAATTGGCCAAATATTGGCTGTTGTCTTAGTGACAAAGTATAAAACAAACATATGGAAGAACAATTGCTAGTTTGTTTAGGTGACTTGCTTGAAATGTTTGAGAAAATAAATAAATTACTAATTTTGTTATAGTTTTTTTCTCTAACCAACTACTAAATGCCCTCTATACGATTATATACAGTGTAGTTTTCATTACCATTAATGTGACTTTACTTAGCTATTTACCCAAGCGACATGATGAACAGGAGTTGGCTGGTCAGTTGAAATACTGGTGTATAATCTACTGTCTGGAATTTTTGAAACAGATTGATAAAAATACACCTGTTGGAATACTGAAGAGGTCACAATTTTTGTCCGATTTTGATGAAACGTAAAGGATATGTTTATATCCCAAACCCAGTGTTTTTTCTCTGGGACCTCTGGTTTGCTCCCACTGCTAAAGACCTCTACGCGCAAGTGAATTATTGATTTAAAATTGAACCATGTGTTAGTCATGAAATGACCTAGTTTGTGACATTTAGATATATCGGTTGAGTTTGAATTTCGTGAAAATCGGTTCGAAACTGCTGGACAAAATGGCCGTTCCTTGTACGCAAGTAGTGTAAAAGTATGTAATACCAAAGTTGTGGAACCTCTAGAGATCAGAATTTTTATCTGATCTTGATGAAACTTAAAATATATCCCAAAGATATCATTTCTTCTTGATATTCGTGCATATCAGACCATAACTTCCTGGATTATGAGTGTATGAAAAACTGCTTTTTTTTTTTAGCTGGTTTTCTATCTCTTGCAAAATGTGGGCGTATCTTGCATGGCAGCCAATTATTTTTTATTAAGAAATAAAATTTTTCAATTTATTTGTGATGAGTTCTCAAATTTCCTGCTATATAAGATAAGTGTCTGCAAGACCATATGTAAAGAGGGGGGTTGGCATGGTCTAGAGTGTCGCGTTTCGACCCCTAGTTGGCTGGTTACCTCTGGCTTGCGGTTTCCATCCCTGGTGTGAGCGTATGTGGCTTGAAGATAGGGGGGGGGGGGGGTGCTATCTCAACCTTGTGGGTTTACTCTGGGTACTCCGGTTTCCTCCCTCAGATAAAAAAACCCTGGCACTTGCGCTAAGATAAAAAAAGAAAAATACCGTAAGACAACTTGTCTGTGATATCACCTTGGGTGGAAGTGGACATTAAACACAAGAACAACAACATATCTATAGACAGAGTTGTACGCCTGTTAAATCTTGGACTGCACTCCTTTAAATCAAGATGATTAGCAGACTTGAATTAATTAAAAAGCTACCTTATGCTTTATTTGAGTTTTGACTTGGTGTATTTGTTTAGTTAGGAATGAAGTATGATGGGGAATCTATTTACATACATTCTTATTGTTATGATAATGTAATATTAAAATTATCCTTAAAATTTATATCTTTGAAGTTAAATTGAAGGTGCATATTTTAATTTTTACTTTATATTATTTGAAAGACATATCCTTTGTATGCAACACAGTAGTACAATACAGTATGAAGTATCTACTTGTATGAAAAATGTGACTTTATCAGTTTTGGCAAGCATGACTATAAACTGTCAGTCCAAATTGTGTCATATTAGTACAAGGGAATAAATCATTTGGATGAGCATGAATTATTAATCAAAGTCTTACCTGAGAGTTTGGTTGTGACCTGATCAATGAAAGAAATTTCATTCACAAATGGCTCAAATAGGGAAATAGAAATTGCATAAGGGTCTATTAATAGCTCAATATTCTATCGTTGATAACAAAATCTTCTTGTAAATTATGACATAGTAAATAAAGACTACTCTTTTGTCTATATTCTGAAACCTAATAATTAGTGACTTGTTCAGTTCTTGCCTTTGGAAATGTGAGATATTATTACAGGTCCTAAAGTACATTTGCTTGCTAACTTTACGACTTCAATGAACACGGTGAGATTTCTTTACTCAATGAAATCTTTGCTTCAAGATGATATGTCTGGACATGTCCTATCTTTCAATGTTAGTTTTGACCGAGATAGCAGTTTTGGCTCTACGTCACATCTCTCGTCTTTATCTAAGAGTAAGAGCTCTTATATTATGAATGAAACCAGTGTAAACTAGTGGGACTTGCTAAGAAAAGAAATATCAGTTTGAGGCCCAGCCTATTCCTTAGGTGGCTGTAAAATATATATGGAGCTCCAAAAGAAACGTTGCCAAGATGTAAAATCTAGTATAAATCCCTTTATGATTTAGAAAACAGAACTGAAATGTTGGTTGATATATCACCTTAAAACAACTAATGTGTCAATTTGATTTTCCATATACCCCTGTATGTCTTTTCAGCATACACTGTTTGTTTTCAATAGTCCCATGTCTTCATATGATTTCTTGTGGATGTCAGTATATATATTATTAAAAGTTTATAAAAAGATAATGACATGCAGAGAAATTCATGGATATTTTCATAAATGCATGTTTATTTCACAAACATTTCTTCTGTACAAAACAATTCTCTTGAAATTACCTAGCAGCTAAAACTAAGCCGGTAATACAAGGTCATTAACAATTAGATTTAAAGCACCTGTTATAAATCTATATCTTGTGAACATAAACATTCATTTCAATATACCATATGAAAAATGTATTCGAATATGGGCATCATTTTAATGCATTGAATCCTGGTAATGTAAACTCTTAAAAGTAGGCTGTAACATTATTTCTAATAACTATTACACTTAAGACTTTTAACCAAATGTATTACTTAATTTTTTCTAATTGTTTGAAATTGTTCTTAGTTCAAGTCTTTAACAGAAGCCATTAATAACCACTGACTATTATGTGCTTCTTGGAGGATGACAATACCGGGCTCACGCTGTCGGCCACCTAAGTCACAATTTCTGATAAAAATATGAAAGTGGTGATTAAAATTTGATTTTGGCGATAACATTTTGGGGTACTGGCAATTCATTTGGCGGAAAGAAATCTTAAAATTCTAATTGTATCCTAGATTAACCATTACATACTTACCAATTGTCTCAAATTAATGATTAGTTGATTGATAATTGCCTATTATTGTATTGTAAATCCTATCTCAAGTCATTTTTTACTCCTTACTGTATGTTTAATCCAAGCGGTGATTATCTGATGTTTCGTTTCGTCTTCAACAGTTCTTTTCGAGAATTATATATTTTGATAGTTGAATTCTCTTTACTGTGGCTTCATACGGCATGTAAAATATAGAAGCATACCTAATTGGATATTTATATTTCAAATGATATTATCACCATTTGTTGGAAACGTAAGTATGAGTCAAATAGCGACGATTCTTGAGTGAGAAAACGGTCCGCCATTTGCTTCATATTACCGCCGCCAAAAGTGAACGAGTATAATTGAAGCACCTCTTACAGATAAAATTGAAATTTATAACATTCTATCAGAGTTCAGATTCTGATACCTTTGCGGTACATGGAAATAATAATAGGCTTATTGTACACGCAAAACATAAATTTATAGAAAATTAGCTGTCCTTGGATGAGATTTGATGTGTAAATATTTAAAATATATTGTGCAATACGGTGTGCAAATAGACCAAAGTCACCCCCCAAAAATGTTAGTACAGTAAACTTCACATAAGTCGGATCTTTGCTCAACTTGGATAAAATCGTTTGGACCCTTTGATCCTGCACATTTTTCTTATTAAATTTCTGCGCGTAATTGGGATTTCCTAAGTCAGATCT